GAGTGCATGGAATGTTGCCACTCCAAAACAGAATTACTATATAAAGAGATTAAGTGGATGAACACAAATAGAGGGCCCACGTATTTTAGCTTGGTTTATTAGTCAGCCATTACTTGTAGCCACCATGAACCTCTTCAGTTCAGGATGGCTCCTCTTCTTTCTGCAGGGCTTTTGAAGGATAACCACATTGCTGTTACTACAGCCTAAAAAAGTTCACTGGGAAGAAGAGCTCTGTGGGAGATGTGGAGAAGGGTACTCACTGTCCACAAGCATGCAAGTGAATTTATGGAATGAGGTAATCCCTAAAACGTGTAAACTTTGCTGTATTTTGTATAGTAGTGGTTATCACTTGAACTCCAATGTACTTTAAACTATTTTTGTGCAAACTTGATTCATCTGAGCTATCAAAAAATAATGCCAGAAGTAACTGCAATGCCTCCTTTACTGTATTTTAAGATGTGTGACTAAGGAGACAGTTTTACTACCATGAGAATTTAGCTATAACTCAGGCAATTGTTTTTACATTTCTAAAAAACAACTTCTTCCTGTATCAATATACATGAACAGTCCATTCTGTGAGTACATGTCAAACCTAAGGTAATGGTAAGTGATCTGTGACTAATATAACATGTGACTATCCATTGCCAAAGACACAAACACAAATGTCAACTAATGCACAGTGTATACAGTACTTTACTACACACGGCACAGCCATGTTAAAATTCTGTATCAAGCCATGCCAACTTGTTAACACCCATATACATTCAAAATTGATGCAACACCTTAATTATTTGTTTCTTTTTATGCCCACATCATAATTTTCAGGAAAAATAAACGTTTAGGGAGCTCCTCTTGTCATCAAGATCTCATGCTCCTGACCATCACATCATCTGACATATCCAAGGGTTTTCCCCCTCATAACCAGTGTTCCTTCTAAGCTGAGTTAGTGTGAGCCAGCTCACAGTTTTTTAGCCTCCGGCTCACACATTTTTGTCTTAGCTCAGGAAGGAGGGCTCCAGAGCAAGCTAATCTATGCAGCAGCCAAATCTCTCGCTCACAACTTCAATGCCAGTAGCTCACAAAGTAGAATTTTTGCTCACAAGACTCCACAGCTTAGCGGGAACGTCGCTCATAACCCATTTCCTTGTCTTGAACTAAGCATTACTCAATGTGGGGTTTTTTCATATTCTTCATCCCTTTCTCTGTTTGTTTTCATCACTCTACATTTTTTCTCTCCCCTTTTGGCCAGTTATGGCTCTTTTCGTTCTTCTCTCTGCAGCATGTTTCGCCATCACTGAGAAGTGACACTCCTTCAAAGCTATTGTTGGTAATGTTAAAAATACGTGAAAAGGGATTCAGTTGTACTTTCTCAACTTCACACTTTGTGGTGGCCTTAACGTTTGGGAGGGCTCTTCAGACTATTTCCTGAGGCAAGGGAAGTGGGCTGGAGTGCCCTCGGCAATCAGAGCTGACTGAATGGACCTCTTCCTCAGCCTAGCAGGAAAGGTGCTTTAGAAAGGACCTAACTTCTTGAGGCCCTGACCTGGATGTTGCAGGCTAGCCCAGTCTTGTCCGATCTTGTAAGCTAAACAGAGTCAGCCACGGTTAGTATTTGAATGGGAGATCTCCAAGGAAATCCAGGGTCACTATGCAGAGGCAGGCAACAGCCTCTGAATGTCTCTTGCCTTGAAAACCCTACAGAATCTCCATAAGTCAGCTGTGACTTGATGGCCCTTTCTACCACCACAACTTCTTGAGACCACCAAGGAAAACCCGGTATAAGCGTTTGCGTGCTTCAAGGAAAGGGGTTAATGGAGATATATCCCTGATTCTATATCCTTCTAAAATCACACCCTGGTTAAAGGTAAAAAGTAAAGGTAAAGGTTCCCTTGCTCGAAAGCCAGTCGAATCCGACTCTAGGGTTGCGGTGCTCATCTCCGTTTCAAAGCCGAAGAGCCAGCGCTGTCCGAAGACGTTTCTGTGGTCATGTGGCCGGCATGACTAAACACCAAGGTGCACGGAACGCTGTTCCCTTCCCACTGAAGTGGTCCCTATTTATCTACTTTGCAATTTCTTGCTTTCGAACTGCTAGGTTGGCAGGAGCTGGAACTAGAGACGGGAGCTCACTCCGTCATGCGGCAACTCGGGTCTCGAACTGCTGAACTACCAACCTTCCACAGCCTGCAGTTCAGCGTCTTAACCACTTGAGCCACCGCAGCTCCCCTGGTTAAAGGTACTGAACTAATCATCCTTTAAAAATCATTGATTTATTTAAAATGTTTATTAGCCGCCTTTCGCCCTTGCAGAACTTATGGCAGCTTATAATATAACAATTATCTAATTAATTCATAGCATATAATTAATATGGTGGTAAAGACCCCATTCAGCAATCTTTCGTCCTGCCTTTCATCTGAAATAAATAAATGTATGAACTGAAAATTAAATTCACACGGGAAAGGTTATGACATTTGCACTTATGTTAAGTCATACATTATGGTGTTGTGTTCATCGCTGTCTGCATGTAAAATGCCTTTCGCATAACATGTCATCACACTGCCCTCAGCTAACAAATTCTAAAAGACAATACATACAGATTTTGCTTTTCCTTTGTCAAGATAAAAAAGCCCATGTGGCTTTGTGATTAATATGACAAGGTAAACCCCACATAAATCTAATGGACCTAAGCTCATCTGATATTTATCTCTAACTGAAAATGCATTCTCCATTTAATAAATGAGAAAACAAGAATATAGTAGAATAAAGGTCAATTAACCTATTATTTTGTATACATTAACTGAAGATTACAAATGACAACTTCATTTTACATATTACATTTTACTCACATGTAAGATGCCATTTTGAAAAACTGTTGCCGTATGAAACTTTGTAAAAGTATGTGGAAAATGACATAATATATGGCAACTAGACATAAACATGAAAAAAATTGAGTTGTAGGTTAATTTCATGGCATTGCCTAACTCTGTTCATAAAGCCCTTGGCCATGTGATCATGGCTTAACACCACACACTTAACATCTACTTGTATAGCCACCCACATGATGAGATTACCATTATCTTGCTCCTACAATCTCTTGGCAAGAGATATCATTCTGTTCATTGTGTTGTCACAGACACAGATGCCCATGCAGAGAATCTTAAAACAGCTGTCACAACCAGTTAGTAAGACATGCACTCTGACTTTGTATTATGTAAGTATTCTATTGATGAAGAAACATAAACCTCTTGAAATTGCAGATCAGACAGTATAATATAAGTATAATATAAGACTGGTTGGGGTGGGGTGGGATGCAGAATTTTGGATTATTTCTTCTTCTGCTTATTCCCCCCTTGACCTACTAAAAGACACTTTCCCCCATTTTCCCTCTCTGATTATTTCTTCTATAAAAGATAAGAATTGTAATTCACTATGCACAAAATTCTTGCATAAATAACAACTTAATGCATGGAAATTCAATTTGAAGGGATGAATACTTAAACACACACAAATAATGTACTGGAGAAAGCAAAAGAAAAACCTTCTGAAGTGCTAATGACTATCACCCCTATTCTTGTCATCTCACTTTGATCCTCTCTGTGACTTAGCTATTAACCTGCAGTTTCCTTATTACAGGAGAACTTTCCCCTCATAGGAAATATAGTATATCCTGATTTTTTCTCCATTTTTATTTTCTGTCCATAAACGGGAATAATGGGAATAAAAATTAGCCTTCACACAGTTCTTTATGGCCATGAATAATTATGGGGAAACACCCCACACAGATAGAAAATGCTGCTGACAATTAAATGATAGTTGCTTCTAGTAAGTCCGATCTTAGCTCTTAGTTCTTATTCAAGGTAGGAATGCGTTAAACAGGAAGGGATTAGAGAATCAGGAAACAACTTCAGCCTCAACAGAATAAACTGCTTTTATTCTGCTGGCTGCACAGATTTTTTTCCTCTTTACATTTTGATGTGTTGCATAATGTGTTTTTAACGTTCATTTTCACTCACAGGAGGTTTACGAGTATTACTGGAAAAGACACCCTTCTTTTAAAAGGATTCTAATGGCACCATCCTGCCAACCTAGCAGTTCGAAAGCAAGAAATTGCAAGTAGATAAATAGGGACCACTTCGGTGGGAAGGTAACAGCATTCCATGTGCCTTGGTGTTTAGTCATGCCGGCCACATGACCATGGAAACGTCTTCGGACAGCGCTGGCTCTTCGGCTTGGAAACAGAGATGAGCACCGCAACCCTAGAGTCGGACTGGACTGGCTTCCGCGCCAGGGAAACCTTTACCTTTACTTTAGTGGCAGCTTAAAAAACAAAATTCTATGCTAGCGTAAATCCACAGAGCAGAGCCCACCTCTTCAAATGCCATGTGTTGGTGCAACAAGGCAGAGGCATATGTCTGCGACATAAAAAGAAGAAGTAAACACCAGTGTCAAACTGCCCTGATATGCAGGGAGTACAGGGTGAAACGTTAGCTATTTTCTTTAGACTCCTCTTTACATCTGTCGCAGCGTGCTAACAAGGCTACAGCTCTGGAATGATCATGGAAGCCCCATTTTTAAGTTAAACAAAAAACCCCACAATATTACGGGAAACACGACATGTACAACTCAGACTGGATGTTAAAAGGACAGCCCGACTTTCCTCCCCCCCAGTGTGAGCCAGCTCGCAGTTTTTTAGCCTCCGGCTCACCCATTTCTGTCTCAGCTCCGGAAGGAGGGCTCCAGTCCAGAGCAAACGAATTCATGCAGCAGCCAAATCGCCTGCTCACAACTTTTAACGCCAGGAGCTCACCAAGTAGGATTTTTGCTCACGGGACTCCACAGCTTAGAGGGAACCTTGGACTCTAGACCTTGCCTCGGAGCAGAGGCGGCGGCGTCCCCGAGAAGCCTGACTCGAAACCGCGCCTCTCCCAGACCTGCCCCGTCCCCAACCCTCCTTGCCCGCCCCGTCCCCACCGCAAAGTCCCCGGCTCCCGCTGGCTACTCACTCGGCCTCCGCCATCTTCTCCCTCCCCTGCCTGGCGAGTCTCCGCCTCTCGCGCATCCTCCGACGCGGCTGCCCTCGAGGTTTTTCCCGACGAGGCCACCTGACCTGACGCGGCGGAGGGAGCTTCCGCCCGGCCGCGAAGGCTGCAGGGAATTCTGGGGCAGCAAGAGAAAGGGAGGGGGGGGGGTTTCACACTCCTCCTCTCC